TTATTAGTAATTTTAACCAATCAAAGTGTTCAGTGGGCGGAGCATTCAAGGAATCTCTAGTCTGTGATATGTCATCTTATTAGCAATGTAACTATGACATCAGAACATTTCAACATGCGATGTCAAAATCATACTTGAATTCTAGCAAATTGAAGACAATGATAATTCTTCGAAATGTCAGTGAAAATACTTTTAAAAAATAATTTAATTGTTTTAGGACAGGATACATTACTTATCATACAATCTGTTAAACCGCTTGCATTGAATTATGCCTGTACAGTGTGTTTTTTTAAATGTCGGAATATATCTGGTAAAGAAAATTAAATCGCCTAAGATTGTTTCGGTATAATGAAACAGTTATGGAATGGGAATTCGGGAAATAGCAAATTTATGGTTCCACTCGGCAGGAAACTATTTCCCTCGGCGGCTTCGCCGCCTCGGGAAATAGTTTCCTCCCTCGGGAAACGATAAATTTGCTATTTATCATACCATTCAATAACTGTATACTATGACACGCCAAATTCACAAAAATAAGCTAATTATAGTTTCACGGGCGATAAACTAGGTTTATCGGTTGTAAAATATAGTTTGCGGACTGTAAATTATAGTTAATAACGTTATCCGTATTTGACATCTGTAAACCATAGTTAGCGCGATAAACTATATTTCACAATAGTTAACTATACTTAACACTGAAAACAATCATTTGCGATTGCAGAACATATTTTATCTGATAATGCAAATTAATGATTTGTAAAGTATGGTTTAAATCTCTATAATATGGTTTACAACTATAATTAAAGATCTGATAAATATTGTTTCACAATTTGTGAAACTACGATTAGCAGCTCTTACATGTAACTATAGTTTACGATTGTAAATTATAGTTACAAACGTGAATCTATGTTTATCAACAAAATCTATTGTTAACGTTATATTACAGACAGACAGACTTATATAAAAAATCGTAAACTATAATTAACAACCGTTAAATATAGTTTTACAGATGAAAACTATAGTTAACGAATAGTTAACGTCATTTGACGTTACAACGTTGAGTACACTGTAGCATACCTGACGTTGCGTCAACACGAAGTGCATTCGGACAATTGTTTACAAAGAATATAATATTCTTAGTCGTATTAAATATGGTATGTCATATTAAACCTTTGTTACTTACTTTCATAAAAAAAATGACTGACAGGTAAAAATGAGCATGTTAAAGATACAGATCAGAGGCCTGTTCATCAATTACTATTGGAGGTATAAGGAATTTTTGCAAGCGCTCGCGAACGTTCGCTTTGCTGAACAGGCCTCAGAGTTATCAATGAAACAGCACATAAGGGGAAAAGTGCTTATTGATTTCACATAAAATACAAAACCTAAAATAAAATTAAGTGTAAATTGTATCTGTTTGTTTTAACTTGACTGTAATATGGAGGTTTGATTGTAGATTTATTTTCTGCATGCAAAATATGACGTCACAGTCGTTTTCGTTTACAAACAGAGCCGAGTTTCCCGAAAGTGACGGGGTTTGGCGATACTTCCCACGTACATCAATCTTAAAAAGAACAAACAATTATTTTTAACAATTGTTGTTTGAATATGAAAATTTTATTTGTGGTGTAGTAAGCATGTTGTCATTTCTTTTTTGTGCTGTTTGGCTTTTTCCCTGTCAGACGTTTTAGACACACTTTTCCATAAAAGATGCAAAAATTGCAAGCCTTGGTGTTACCCTAAAAAAGCAGAACCTTTAGTTTTTTTGTATAAAAATTTGTGATTTATAGATTAATATGAGAATTTAACAATTATTTTGTAAACAAAAATATAAGTTTAATAGAAGTATTGCTTATAACATGATAAGATTTTTGATTTTTTTTCTCAAATTGCACATTTAGCTGTCGAAGAAGCAGATAAAGAAGGGAAGGCACTTTTGAGTGTTATGGATTTTGGAGGGCAGTGTGCCTACTACGCCTGTCATCAAGTCTATCTCAGCAGAAGAGCTTTCTATCTACTGGTGATAGATATGTCAAAGTCGTTTGATGAGAAGGTTGACCCAGCGCTTTGTGAACAACAGGGGACTATGTTTGCTGACTGGACATATGGTGGTAAGAGGTTTATTTATTAAAATACTTTTTGTTAAGAGTGTGATAGACAAACTGTTCTATGTATTTCTAGAAATAGAATAAATTCTTTAAACGTGATTGTCAGAGATGTTATATTTTAATTCGTGCATACAATAAGCGCATTGACTATTAAATGCAATCGCTGTGTTTGTTTGCTTGTTTGTCTAGTGTGAATGTTTTGAGAGATCATGTGATATTTTATTTTTGTATTTACACGTGTTTCCGATTAAATGACCTAATGTGACTTAATGCTAACCAAATAACTGACCGCTTTAATCTAATTAATATGCATGTTCTCACCTAGTATATAAGTACAGCACCCGCCAAATTCCTGACCCCTACACTTATTGCTTTTACGGCTAAAGACTGTAACTGAAAATATAACAAATTTATCTTCAAAGTAATAATTTGGAGTTTTATTTAACTGGATATCTGGTAAGGTTTTTATTTACATTAACTATAATAATTGTAAAAATATCGTTCATAATTTACATTTATTAATTAATCCCGACAACTAAAAATCATATTATGTATTTGTTGTTAATGTCTGCTATTAAATAATTATATAGTATTTGTTTTGTGTGTGTGTTTGTTTGTGTGAGTATGTTGTGTTGTGAGAGTGTTTTTAATGTATACTTTGTAGGTTTTTTTTATTTTAAACACGTACATAAATCCTTCCTGTGTCGAATCCAGTGTTGGATTTTTATCCAACAAAAGGCCCAGAGTAATTTATCTTAATAAAATAAGTGTTTTGACAGTCCAAATACCCTTCAAAGTATTTCCCAATAACAGTTTTGAAAACATCCGTCAGCCAAGGCTGTACAGTAGGTTGTAGAAGAGGCAGAATGACGCACCGCGTGGCCAGAGTGTTATTTGTTACATTTTGATTAGTCGAGTTATGTCTATTCTAATACATGCAATAAACTTACCAATATAATTATACATCGCTAGGCACTACTTCAGCCCGTTATGCAAATTATCCCATGTTTCCCACTATCGTTGATGCCCTGGCATACTATACGAACTAGACAGTGATTCCTTAAATATACTGAGTAATTTTTTTAAATAAGCCAAATCAAGAACTTTTTATTTCTAATGTAAATTGACAATAAGAATTTTAAACGTATTTCTGAACATATCAATTAAGAATACGACTTAGACATTTTTTTTAACTTATCGCTTGAAATAAAAGAAAATACAAAGCGCTTACTTCAATGTTTTTATGTACTACATAAAAAGACAAATGATTTACTGTAAACCAACTTTTATTCGCGTGCGAGAAATTTTCGCGATGTTCGCGAGAGCCTTGTCATTGCGAATATTCCTCGCCCTGAAGCGGTCCTTAAAGTCTGTGTGTTAATTGAAAACATCGGCTTGATTGCGAAAATTAATCGTCGCGATCTAGTTTAACCCTGGTAAATCGCGAAATAAAGTCGTCACAAATAAAAGTTGGTTAACAGTTATGTCAGAGGCAGCAAATTTTGGTTACTAGTAATCTATTTGTTTTGTATCCATCGTTACCTATTACTAAAAGCTTTAATGACTTAATTTTGTTTCATTCGGCTATACTGATCAAAGTTCTATTAAAAACTAGGAATGTCAATTTGTAACCGGTTAATCGATTAATCGGTCGGAACGATGCTAATCGGTTAGAAAATCCGTATTCGGTAAGTCGGAAAAAATGAAATATTTGTAAATTTGAGCGTAGTTTCGTTATAAATCCCTTGGTTTTTTTTTCTCAGAAAACAATAAGCGCTGCATAGATTATTTCATTCAGTGTTTTTACACATCTTACAAATGAGAATATTTGGAGGTAATTATAGCTCTCCAGATTGAGATTGCAGGGTAATTGGTCAATTCGTTAATTGTTAATTACTGTTTTAAAACATCATGCAGTTACCCAGATAGTCCTGTGTTTTTTTTAAATGATATTAAAAACATTACAGTTGAGCACTTTTAATTATAGTAAGTCTATACTTATTTTGCTGTTATCTTTTTTAAAAATTATATTATTATAAAAAATACTTTGTAAATTGTAAGTTAAGTGAGAGTTCAGACACGGACTATAGTTCTGATTATGATGCCAAGGCAGAACTAACTTCGTTAACATCTGCGCTGGAAAATTACCCCTGTCTGATTTTTCTAGCAAGATTCATGGTTTTATTAATTTTTTCTTGGCTATTGAAATTGAATAAAACAAACTCTTATGTACATAAAATTCCCCGATGAAAAAAATAAACAGAATGTGACTTCTAACGTCGCGTTTTAGCCTTTTTGTGTATGAAAAAAAGTAAAAATTCTCGATACGACTAACCGGTTAATCGGTCGGAACGTTTTGTGGTTAACCGATTAGCAATTCTGCAATAGATTGCCATCCCTATTAAAAATATATCTTTTTTCAAGGCCGATAAAATGAAATAATTCTAAACCTCAATTAAACGTCGACCTGATCAATATATAAAGTGCCAGTTCATTAACGTCATTTGAAAACATGGGATAATTCTCTTCTCGATTGACTCTACAGATCCATGTAGATAAAACTCCTCCACTACCTATCATCCCTTGTGTATCAAAGAAAAAAATGGGAAAGCCCCAAGGTAATCATTCCACACAAGAAACGCTGACAATACATTATAATATTTAGTTGGTTGAACCTGTGGACAAAGCTTTTTTTTTGTCGTTTATGTCATCGGCATATAAAACAATGTACATGAAATGAAAAGTTAGATAACTAAAATGGTATTTATTAGATAAAAACTACATGAAGAATTCTTTATTAGTCCGTGAGATATTCACCTGCATATGAGCCATTTGCCTTTCAATTGTCAAAATTTACATTTTTTTAATAAATATGGAGAGATCGGCACACTTGACATTTAGGGAGCAAACACAGAAAAAGAGTCTGAATCTAAACATAATTTCATCAGCCTTATTTTACACAGAGTACATCCTTTTTTGGCTGAAGTCTGTCCACACCTATTGTGAAAGTAATGCTCCAGTTGTCATCATAGGAACTCATTTTGAAAAAGTAAAAGGCCAGGTATTCTTGAAAATATTTTTTTTAATGTAATTTGAAATCATGCCTTCCATTCCTTCGTAGACAAATAATTCATTACTAAAACAATTACACAAACTTTTAAAAAAAAAAGAAACAAATTTTGCGTTTAAATTCCTTTCTAGTAAAAAGAGATAATATTAATCTATGTGTCTTCTGTAGAATTCTGACACGTTCTACAACGAAATACTGGATCACCTGCAGTTCAACAAACATTTGAAAGGACACTTGGAACGAAAGAGATGTTTTGTGCTTGGTTTCCATACAGATGGTACACCTTTTTACGATACACTTTCTGACTTAGAAAAGTGTATTATTGAAATTGCGAGGGAAGAAAAAATGGAAAGAAAACATTCCAACCGACTGGGCTTTATGTGAGGTTGTTTTTCGAGAATTGAGAAAACATGGGTCAAAAATGATAACAGTTAAAGAATTATCCAACAGATGTTTCGGTGAAAATGAAGCAAAGAGTGCGCAAATCAAAGACGTCCTGAAATTTTACCATGATATTGGGGTCATTCTATACTTTAACGAGGGTGCACTTTCTGACACTGTAATCCTTGATATCCAGTGGTTCATTGATTCATTCAAAAACATAATTGCAGACCCAAATCATGTCAGGGATGTTGCGGAAAACAGCCGTGATTGGTTAGATTTCTACAAAAGTGGTCATATCTTAGACACACTTTTGACCAACATATGGAGATTGAAAAACTTCGAATTGGATTTCTGGAACAGATACAAGCACAAAGAACATCTTCTCCAATATATGGAACGTCTTGGTTTAATTGCTGTTGGTACAGTAGCTCATTATATTCCCTGTACGAATAAGCGCACATTTGGAAGTGCCGAGGAAAACTATTTTCACTCTTTGGAATACAAAACGCCTGTGTTGGTCTTTCGATTCGAATTCTTGCCATATTTTATTTACTTCCGCCTGATCGTTTCCTGCTTGACAAGAACCAACAGAGAATGGAGAGTTTTACAAGACAATGGACTTTGCCTGTACAAAAATGTTGCGTGTTTTGCATATAAGCAGCATGCGGTTGCTTTGGCTGTGAACCCCTCCTCCGTACAACTTCAGGTTTATCATCCGACAAATACTCCGGTTACCAAAACAGTTGCATTGGAAGTTCGTAACATTATCACACATTTATTGAATGATTTGCTCGAGAATTTTCACAAAAAAATCGACATGTACACTGTTGGATTCCAATGTTCAAAGCAGGAAGTATTTTACGAACATGATGATTGCTTTGTTGAAGAAGAAGAGTTGTTAAAGAAGGGGACTATGCTGTGTCCAAAACATGAACTGAATAACAGCCACATTTTACGTGAATCAAATCTGCTATTTTACTGGAATCTGGTAATCACCATTAGTGTTCAATATTTAAATACTATTTCTAAAAAATGCACACAATTAATTATATTGAACCGAGCCTAGTGTAAGAGCGTTGGCTTCGTGATCGGAATGCCCGGGTTTGATACTCGTTTGCGCCGCCGTATCAAAGCTAAGACGTAAACAAATCTAATGACTGTTCCTTTGCCTTGCCTTTAGCACTAGAAAGTCACCGGTCTTTCACATATACCCTAAAAACGTAGGTCCCGATAGGCGCCGGCACGATAAAGATAATCACTTCTCAATGGTCCTCAGTGCCGAGTATAGATGTAACTCTGAAGGCTTCACCAGCATAAAGTGAACTCTCTATATGAATGAAAAATTCTTGAGAGGGACGTTAAACATTATACAATCAATCAATCAGTTACTCGTTGAATTCATCTTGCATTAAATAAAATAATTTTTCATTCTCATAATCACATTAATTTCATATAAATTGATATTGATTGATTGATTGTATATTGTTTAACGTCCCTCTCGAGAATATTTCACTCATATGGAGACGCCACCACTTGCCGGTGGAGAGCTGGAAATTTTGTCCTATGCTTGGCACTCAGGGCTATTGAGCAGGGAGGGATCTTTTTCGTGTAAACACCTATGCGACACGGGACCTCGGTTTATACGGTCCCATCCGAAGGACCGGTCTCCACGTCCCATAGTGGGATTCGAACCCGCGACGTAAGGACTGACTCCTCACTTCGCGACTTTAGAGCAAACGCTCTAACCACTGCGCCACGCGGGCGACATAAATTGATATAAGAAGACTTAAATCAGCCTATTATAAATTTTGTTCAAGTCGTCTTACTTGAACATTCTAAAAAATTACATAAATACTTTAGACATTTTAAAAAGAAAAGTGTTTTGACGTTTTTATTCATTTCATTTGGTTTATTCGCTAATTTTGGCAATTCCATATGAGTGAAAAATTTTCGAGAGGGGCGTTTAACAATGTACAAGCAATCATTCCCAAATTTTGAAAAAATCTAATACAGCAACTCATAGTTCATGTTTTAGTTTCAATTCGTTGTACAAACCATGCGCGGATCTAGAGGGGGGGGTCAGGGGGGTCAGGACCCCCCCCCCCCCTCGGAATTTACCAGGTTAAAAACGTACATACTAAAACAAGGAAAAAGTTACCATGGATTCCCTTGGAAAACGCAGACCCCCCGGTATATGTGTAAAATGGGTATGAAAAGTTAAAGATTTGAGGCAAAAAAAGAAAAGAAGTCACCACTAACCCCCCCCCCCCCCCCCCCTACGAAATAGGTTTTTGACGTTAGGGGGAGTGTTACTTTACGTTTTTTTTTTTTTTTGCTTGTCAAGAAATTTCCAGGATAGGATTTTTTTTTTGACTGAGGTGGACCCCCCCCCCCTGGAAAAAAATTTCTGGATCCGCGCCTGCAAAGGACAATTTAAGAATACCGTTACATGACTCAATGATTGATCAGTTATTGCACATTAATTAAAAATCATGACTATTCAAGGTGAAAGTGACATAAAGTTCTGCATACTAAAATAGCGATGGAAAAGAAAATTATTGCTCAGCAAAATATATCAATTTTTATTAAAAAAAAAAAAAGAAAGAAAAAGAAAATACAGACGGTTTAAATATAACCATTTCATGCGTTATTTTTCTGAGCAGGGTGGGTAGATCCGTACATTTCTGGATATTGCCAAACCCTACATATAAAACACTTAAAAATCATACCGTTAAAATTGTCTTCACATTCTTATATCATATGAAATATTACGAGGGCCGTTCAAAAATTACGCGGACTGCGCTATTATTTACTCTTACAGACGTCATATAGTTATAAAATTTCACAGAAATATGTATCTTACAGATTCCAATAAATTTTGGGCAAAATTTCTGTATTTTAAAAAAATTCTACTAAAATTATCGGTATGTTGATATCGTTGATGGTGAGGTATGGCGCAGGACAAAAAAAAATTGAAGCAAATGCATGCGGATTCAAAAATTTAACTCATTGAATTTCTAAAATTCGCGATATTTTTCAACAATTTTCCCAAATGTACCTATAAAATGTTTTATTATTATGTATTTAGATTTCGGACGTAATATTTGAAGTACTAACAGAAATATAGTGGTTTTTCTCTGATGCGATTCCCGTGAAAACGACTGTGAAAATGACGTCTCCTGAATAGATCCAAAATATGCATATAAAACATGTAGTAAACTAGGCTACTCGTGACATTCGCCCACAAATAGCAAATTGAAATTTTAGACAGTTAGACCTCTGTAAAAAGGCTATACGGGAGGACGGAAAGAAGATTATAGACGAAAAGATAACTTTATCCGGAGTGTAAACAACGTGATTGAGAGTCACCAATATCACACTATATCTCATTAGTAGTTTTTGGTTTTAAAATAAAAAAAAGAATATTCTTTACTTGTTTAATAGATTTTAAGTTTGACAAGAAATGGTGTTTTGATGTTGAGTAGATAAGGTAACTCTATACAGGTACTCAAGGGAAAATGTTGAGAAAATGAAAGCTCAATCACATAATTTTTATAATGCTTGTGACGTCGAAGATTTTGCTGCGCCGTGACTTAATGGTATGTCCTGAAAAATCACTCAAAATAAATATCAATTTACAACATTTTGAAGACCATAAAAGTAAAAATTCTTTTATATTATTTGTGAAATTTTGCCCGATTATGTCGTCAAATATTTTTTCTGTGCAACAAGTCAGCGTAATTTTTGAACGCCCCTCGTATTTTGAAAATTTATGCTTTACTACCGATACTGATATATCTAATATAATTCAAACGTTTGTTTTATACATTTCAGGATGTACTTGCTGAGTCAATAGGTATTTTTTTTAATCTGAATATATTTATTTTACTTGCCATGAAATTAATGAATGAGGACCCTGAAATCTCTTTCAGTGGAATTATATGCACTTCTTTTCTACTTCAGACCCAGACTCTCCAGTTCAAAAAGGGAGTTATGGGAAGCATTCTGAACCTGAAATGAAAACATGTAGCTTCCAGTGTTTCGAAAAACTCACAAAAATCGGCAGAGAAGCTCTTCAGAGATACTTTGACAAAGTCTTCCCTCCAGCGGAGCTATTTATGTTACTTCAGAAGGAGAAAAGTAACTTAAGTAGACAGTTCAATACAGACCAATGTGATCTACTGTATCCAGGTATTCCGGAATTTAGGGACGCACACAGCATGCATCTACACAAACTCTATAATGTACCATTCCCACTGATATTTTCATATTGATTCTGATTTTGTTTTTTTTAAATTTAAGTCTCACGAAATGCTCTTGCTTAGAAAATCAGCATACGTTACGAACAGTTTATACTACATCAAAATGATTACAGCGCTAGTTATTTTTCTTAAAGAAAAATGTCTTGAATATAATTTTGGATTGTATTTAAAAAATTATTAAGAGGAGTTGGCAATATTAGCAGACATCATAACAGTTTAAAAGGTCTTTCAATAACTGGAACTTTTACATAAAACAGGGAATAAGAAAAAAGATAAACATACCCTGAGTTTATCCTCGAAACTTTATTGGTTGCTTTTATTTTTCATCACTGAAGCAAACACTTCTTCTATTAGTTTGAGAGTAAAATGTTGATTAATTTAAGTTTTTGTAATGCTCAATGGCATTTTTATATTTTTTGTTTTTTTGATTTGTAAAAATTAAAGTTTAACTTTAAATGAAAAAGTTAAATAGGTATTTTTTTTTATTTTTAGCTAAAACAGGCAGGCTTACATGTATAATAGTGAAGTACGAGTATGCTGAGTATAAATCTTAAAAAATGACCCAGGAACTCAGAAATTAAAAGGGTCTTACTTATACAGATTTTTTTACATTTTTTTTTTTTACAAAACCGAATACCACATATTTAATTCTTAAATGTATTAAATTTTAAGCATCGTTGTGTTGTCACACATGTACATTACTTCAAATTGGCAATTAATACGTCAAATAAATAGGAATTAGTATTGTTTTTTATGCTTTAAATTTTCATGAAAAATTCTGAATCAGTTGCCGATTTGGGGTTACATGGAGCATTTAGAATGAGAATATAAATAAAAAAGTAGGTAGTGGCTAGGACATGATTGACAGGAAAATAGGCAACAAATACAGATTTAAAAACAAATAGATTTAAGTGTCGCATATTATATTTAGCTTAGCTCTTCATGTCAAATTGTTTTATTTTTCTTTATTTTATTTTTTTTTTTATTTTCTTTTGTTTTTATGGTTTGATAATGTCGTTGCATGAAGTTAAAAGTCTTGGAAAATGCAAAAAAAAAAAAAAAAAAAAAAAGTCCCGAAATCAAACTCATACAAATTCAAACACTTTTGATAAATTTTGAGAATATTTTTTTGCTTTCAATATTTTTATTATGAATCTGAATTCATTCAGTTTATTCAATGTAATTTGAAAATAATTGTTTTTCATATGATTATACAGTAGATAAATCGATTCCAACATCTTCTGCATTTGATGTGACCCTTATGTACAAACTGTTGAGGAACTACGGTCCAAACCTTCCTACCCCGACCAAAGGCTGGGGAAAGACACCGGAACCAGGACAGAAATCTCCAACTGATGACGTAGAAAGGATCCGAGTTTATAGGAATGAGGCTGAACATAAAACTCCGGCAACCAGTGTCATGGAGAAAGAGGACTGTCGTGTGAAGTGGAGAGATTTGTGTCAGGTAATTTATCATAAATCTAAATTAACATCTACCTATTGTAGGTTAAAGGTGAAAAAAGAAAAAATAAATTAAAGTGTTCGCACCATTCATATAATTTACTTTGAATTGTATCAATATTACTAAGGTATTCCTTTACCGCATTGCAATGTATTTTCAACTAGTGGCTGCTTATATTTTGCTTAATTAATACAAGAAAGAAGAACTTCCTTTCTATCGATCTATAGGCTAGAAGGCTTGCAAATGACACCTTTTTGTTTATG